ATTTAAATAATTTAAATAATTTAAATAATTTAAATAATTCATTTAAAGTCAAATTTAAATATTGAACAGAGTTTAAAAAACAACCTTTTACTAAAGGTTTAACTTTAATTTCACTTTTTGTTGCAATTGCAATTGATATCATCTAAATTAAAATGTAATTAAAACTTAAGTGGGGTATGGTATGTTGCTCATGTGTCTTTATTTTTTTTTATTTTCTAGCATGCATACAGTAAAATCTTTGAAATATTACAGAGTTTGGTTTCCCTCATGTCATTTAAGAGTGACTTTATATAAACTGATTATGAAGAATAGTGATTTTAAAAGAAAAGAAAAATTGCATGCAAAATAAATGTAAACTAACTATGGAGATTTGGTTGCATATACAAAGAAAGATTATGTTAAATTTAGGTGTTGAATTAAGATAAAATAATTTTATAACTTCTAAATTCTTATAACTTTTACGTACATAGGGTGGTGAAGGTAAAAGGCTGAAAAGAGATAAAGTATACCTGAGGGGTGGCTTCTCGTCTAGTATATATATATATATGTGTGTGTGTGTGTGTGTGTGTGTGTGTGTGTGTGTGTGTGTGTGTGTGTGTGTGTGTGTGTGTGTGTGTGTGTGTTTTGTCATTTAATCAGATTTGTGGACAAGTTGGTTTGGGCAAGAATCTTTCAGGACCTCCTTGTATCTCCTTTTATATACATATATATATATATATATATATATATATATATATATATATAGATAGATAGATAGATAGATAGATAGATAGATAGATAGATATTATTAGTGGAAAATATACATTCATATGAAAAATATATAAATACCCATACATGTATATTTTTAGAATAAAAATTCCAAGAGGAAGAATCCAGGTAGAACTCAATGTCTAGGACAGAGTAAGGATATAATAAAAAGTCTTAAACACTAATATTCCATGGTCATAATTTATTCCATTGGAATCGTAAATACGATCCAATTTATCAGACCTACAAATTCAAAAAGAAAACAGAAAAAAACAACTCTGAAAATAAAAACAGAATTTAGAGAGAGTGTAAGTATGAGGAGGAGGGAGATTAAACCTTAACAGAGAGAATTTTAGGAGAGATGGGTGGAAGGGGTTTAAGTAAGAGAAAAATGATTGTTGTTGGATGTCTAATGCATAAAGATACATTTCGTGGTGACATACACACACCATAGACAATCTAATGTTAGAATAAGAGGGAGGGAAAGACGAGGTGGGGGAGAGAGATGGGACGAAGGAAAGTAAAATTGCGTTTACTTATATATATATATATATATTTGAATATATATATATGTGTGTGTGTTTGTGTGTGTATGTGTGAGTGCGTGTGTGTGTGTATGTGAACATATTTCACAAACAACATTTCTGAAAAACAGTTGCATTTATAATAATTATAAAATTAAAATAAGTATTGGTTTATTGGTATTCCCAGGAATTAATTCCATTTATTAATCATACGTGTAAGTAGATTTAAAGCTATTACTTCATGGGTGATAGTTATGGGGAGTTGTTTTACCCAGTGTTCCCAGTGAATATTGGTTCTAAATTAAAATTTTAATTAACTTGAGTCAACATTCAAACACAAAAATTGTTCTATTTTCTGTACCAATAAGAGTTACACATTTGTATGCGGCTATACATACCTGAAAACCACTTTCTTTTTATTTTGATCTCGGCATGCTAAAAAGCATGTCAAAATTTGCTAGGTAAATGTATTTCTATTGTAAAATCAACCACAATTCTTCTTTCTGGATTTTCATTACTTCTGGACCGTATTAGCCTTTGGCATAATTTCAAGTAGAGACCAATGTCATGTCAAATAATTGGCAATTCTCCTTTGGTGGCACCAGTTGTCTCTCTCTAACCAATGTTCACCGTTAATGGCACAAACAGAATTATGTACATTCAGCATTCAACAAAATACACCTACCTGATATATACATGAGATAAATATAGATACATTTTTTATATATTGAGAACAATTAAGGAGAAAGAATTATGACGAAGTGGAAAAGGTTTTCATGTGATTAAGTTTATGTTTACATCGATGTGACAACACATGCGCAGATGCTAATAATTTTAAATTTAAATTTTCACCTTTAATATGTGTTTCGGTTATATAATCTAACCAAGTTCATTTAGATTCTTTTTGTTTACGTTTCCATTACTTTTGTTATTAAATAACCAAAACGCATATTAAAAAAATATATTAAATTTAAAATTCTCAGCATCTCACTGTTTCCAATGTTGACTTGAAGCAAAGAAGCCAGAAGAAAGTTCTACAAGTGAGAAGTGTGAAAGAAGAAACTGCTAGCATAGAACCTGTGGTTGCATCTAGCAATTTCAACTTTAAAAATGATGGGCCCTATCTGCCAATCAAGTACTGCATTTAAATTCTTAAAGGTGAGGTATCAAAGAGGAAAGCTAATCAGAACACTTACCATGAAAATATTTACAGAAGAGTTTTTCTAATT